TGGAAACTAACGAATGGTAGCTAGCTGTGTAATCAAGAGAAAAGACTTTTGGCTTACCTTCTCAGCATTTTTAAACTTGTCTGTGGTTTCTACTCTACGAGTTTACAGTACTCTCTCCTTTTTACTTTTTTTAGGAGCTTAAGTTTGCAAACGGGTGTCAACAATATTCATTGGGAGTTTGAAATTTATATCATACAAATTGTATTGATTAGAACTGTAGATGAATTTTAAGATATCTAATTTGAGAAGCTCATCTTTGTTTCTCGTTTGTGTTTACTTCCTCTGTTCTTCATTCTTATCACTTGAAAATGGGTGGGAGCAAAGGAGGAAGAAAACGGTTTTACTCTATGCGTCTAGTAAGACTGCCTCCAGCCAGTTTAGTAACAGATCTGATTCTAAATCCTCTCTTTTAGTGCTGCCAAATAATGAGGTTCTCTAATGTATAAAGCTTAGTTCTCAGGATTTGGATTGGTAAAACAATACTTCCTGACCATTATTGTAGATCTTCTGTCATTGTAACTTGTGACTTTTCTTGGTTCTTTTCGTTGTTATATCTCAAGTGCTGGTAACTTATGGCACAGCGTCCTTGCTGAAAAGTTGAACTTGAATTATGAGGAAGCTGAGCAGTGGATTGTAAATCTCGTGCGCACGTCAAAGCTTGATGCGAAGATTGATTCAAAGACGGGAACAGTTATAATGGAAACGAACAAGCCTGATGTGTAAGTTTTTTCCTTCGTTTTCTCAACCTTCGCCCACAGTCCGTCCTATATCTGGGAAATGTTTACTACTCTTAGATTACTGCCACAGAGTACTGTTCTTAGTGAAATGAAATTTTGATCCTTGAATTTTCAGGGTTGGGTCTGCTAGGCATTTGAAAAACTCTATCCTTCTTACTTGTGATTGATAAGTTCTTAAACTTTGAGAAAAATTTCAAAAATTTGAAAGTTTACAAGGACCAAAACTTATAATTGGACTTAGTTTTGGCTCAATTAGTTTGAGGTTGTAGAACTTTTGTCTGGTAATAATTGTTAATATGAAATTGACACGCTTCGTTTTCAGGCATGAGCAATTGATCGACCACACGAAGTCATTATCTGGGCGTACTTACAAGTTAGTGACCCAACTTCTAGAGCATGCACAGGCCCAAGCAGCTAGATAAATTTTGGGTGGTGCCTCTTTTTTTTTTTTTTTTTTTTTTTTGACAATCACTATGAGATCAGAGCAAGATTTCCATATTTTTTTCCCCCCATAATTTATGCTCATTTTATGCTTCCATATTCTTATACCAATGATTATTCTAGAAAAATCTTAACAAAAAATGTAAATAATTTTTTTAATATACTAATAAATGTTTTGTAATATTTATGTGGAGACCACCCTTTCTCTCATTATTTTTATCTTATTTCGGTTGATCCTACACTTTCGAGTCTTACCGCAGACAAACATCCATTATGCTTTTGAAATATTATTAAATTTATTATAAAGAGGTTTTTTTTTTTTTTTTTTTTTAATGAAAATAGATTTTAGAAAATGTATATTAAAAATGAGATTTTTTTTTTTTTTTTTTTTATAGTAATTTCGCATGGAAATAAATAAATTAGAAAGAATTGAAATAGGAGAACGGACAAAAGTTAACTTGGAAGGCAAGGACAAATATGAGCTTCCCCTTTCGACCTTGACTTGCTCCATGTTCAATCTGACCTCGACTTGCTCCATGTTCAATCTGACCTCGACTTGCTCCCTAATCAAATTGAAATAGAAGGCAAGAACTAAGATGAGCTTCTTCGACCCTTGTCCCTCTAAATCTAGATGGGAAAAGGCTAAGCTAAACATATACCCCCACTAACTCTTTGCATCATTACTACCTTTGACCACCAAAATTAAGATGATTAGACTTCTTTGACCACCAAAATTAACATGGCGAGTCTAATCACTCCAAGGATTCACCGAAGGTACCCTAATACTCCTCCCATCTCAGGGTCCGGTCTATGCATTGAATTTTAATCTTTACCAACAACGAATAATCTCCTGTTAGTTCCATTCACGTTCAATCAAAATCTTTTAGTGGGTATGCAAGCAAATTCTATTCGAAGATCAAAATGTTACCCAATTTTGTTCTTCCATCATCCCGTGCTCTGAACATTTCCATTGAAAAATTTGTACAACCGGGCTTCATTTTCGCCAGAGTTGGATCATATTGGATCAGCCCATCTTATGAGCTTACTGTTATCTTTCCATTTTCTTTCTTTACAATCGACTACTCTTCATTTGCAATCTAGGGCGATCGGTATTCTCTCATGGGTCGTTTTGATTTTCCTGTATCAAAACGGGAAAGTTGAGAATAAGAAGAGATTGTTGGGAATGAATTTCAAATGCTTTGAATGAAGTATGGCTGTGTTTCGTATGTGAGAATTTATAGCTTTGCCAACATAATTTGCATAGATCGGAATACGATTGTTAGGGATGATATAGGCGGAGGTTGTGTGTTCAAATCTTTGATATCTCCAGAATTTGAAGAACTAGAATGCTTGGTCCCATGCTTGCATATCAAAAAATCCTAAATATGCAGATGAAAACTAGATTATAGAGGGATGGCTTTCTTTTTTTTTTTTTTTTTTTTTTTAAAAAA